AAGAAGCTAGATGCAGAGAATCTTCCGGGGTAGAACACCGTGAACCCATTGGCGAAGAGGAGGAAGCCGAATGCAATCATGGAGATCCACGCTCCGTAGGGCTGACACCAGGACTGGTAAGGGACCTTGACGCCCTGCGCTTGGCAGGCCTTGCGGAAACGAAGGAAGATAAAGGCGCACAGCACCCAAGAGGTGTATCCAGCGGTGTTTGTCAGACTAACGAACCAGTTGAAGACCACGCCAGCATCTGAGGAGACGCTCAGATACGCGAGAAGAGTGAAGCAACTCGATGCAAGGACGGCGTAAATGGGAAGACCGTAGCTGTTGCAGCGTGTAAAGATTTTGGGTGCGTTGCCGGCAACTGCAAGAGAGTACAGGGATCTACTGGCCATGTAAAGGTATGAGTTTCCAGCACTCCAGGCGCTCGTGAGAATACCGGCGTTGACGACTGTGGGTAAACCATTGATCCCGGCGTTGCGGATTGCAATAACCCAAGGTGACGCATTAGCATTACCAGCACCGGACACAAGGCCCTCGGAGTTGGAGTTGCAGATGGCTCCAATCGCCAACGAGCCGAGGAGGTAGAAAATGATGAGTCTGTAGAAGAACCGTCGGCTGGCAATGGGCAGGTTCTTGCGCGGGTTTCGCATCTCGCCACCCATGACGATGATAAGCTCTGGGCTGAAGTAGAACGAGAAGCCGGAAAACACCCAACCATAAAGGAAGGCAGTAAAGCGACCACCAGAGCCTGTGATGATGTACTCCTTGGTCGCACCTGGGTCAACCCAGTAGTAGAAACCCAGCCGTTCTCCGCTCGGCCCTCCACCAAGAATCAGAACCACTGAGAGAAGCAGAAGACCGATGAAGAGAATGATCTTCAGACTTGCAAACCAGAATTCGGTCTCTGCGTAAACAGCAACTGGTGATAGGTTGAGTCCGACGACGACAACAAGGAGGATCGTCAGCCAGACAGCATTGTGGACGTTGTTTGGCCAGTAGTTGATGATGACTGAACCAACTGTGATTTCGTAGGCGAGAATGATGCCAAAAGAATACACATAGAGCCAACCAAGAGCGAATCCAAGGGATCGAGAAGTGTAGCGGTTGCAGTAGTACGACATGGAACTACCCGAGATGGGGAGGAATGTGCCTACTTCCATCACAGCCGTGACTATGCCGTAGACGAGGAGAGAAGTGAGGGCATAGGCTAGGAAGAGAAACGCCGGTCCGCCAGCAGCCAGGACCTGGCCGGATCCTACGAAGAGACCAGTTCCAATGCTGCCACCAATGGCAATCATCTGGGCATGTCGCGACTTGACATTTCGCTTCGTGCCACCCTGGGCGACGAGATGAGTCTCGCCGTAGGTATTGCTTTCGAGTCGGCCGAGGTCTGAGTCGTGCGTTTTGCCATCGTTGGCAGTGTCCGCGTAAATGCCCTCCTTCGAAAAGGGGGTTGCCGTGTCGTTGTCTAGAGCCATTGTAGACTGGGTCGACGATAGGGATTCGGTAAGGTTAATTCAATTATGCATTCGAGGCAACTGAAGGAGTTGTTTGGTTGTGAAACCAGTGTAGGTAAGGTAGTTGAGTACAGAGTTTCTTTCAACCTAAGTTGACTCTTGTATTGAATGAGGGCATTCTCTTGTCTTTTAAACTACACATTACGACCACGTACACCGAATCCTGTTCCGGGGGCCCTTAAGGTGAACCTTGTCTGGGCTGACAAGGGAGACCGGCACCGATACTACTTAGTGCCGACTCAGCTCGTTGTACTCTGGACGGAAGACATTGCAAGTCTTGGAAAAGCATGGATGGAGATAAGTTCCAGCCGTCCCTGTTCCTAACCCATCCGGGGCATTAGGTGACTTGGCGAAGATACCAAGTGTAGTGGTCTCCAGTCAGATAGGAAAGCTTTCCCAGCTATCAGACGCCAAAACATGTACCCCAGGTTTACTATGGGGTCACCGGGTCGTTCGCTATTCCCCCCGCTCTTATCAAAGGCCCCCGCTCCAACGGATGCGCTAGAGCCGCGTTATGCATTCTGTTGCGCACTATTCGTATCTCTCCGCGGACATCAATCCCGTCGTGTTGGTACAACCCTTGGCTAAATATGTTGCCCTCAGCCCCTTGATATAACTTTCCATATCCATTTGCGGAGTCCAGAGTATCAGCAGTTGATATCGCAAACGTTCAACGTGCGCCAAATCCTCCTGACGTCCTCCCAAAAACCAAACAGGAAGTGGAATCCCGAGCCAACTCTGGCTCACCCGGAATGGCCGATGCTAACAAACCCCGACTGTCTTTGTCCAAGGATGCGGACGCCCGGCGCAGTCGGTCCTTTGGCGGATGTGGAACTGTACGTCATCCCACCCATCACGCTGGTGAACCTGTGAAGTCTGGATAGACCGTAGACTAGAATCAAGGAGCTGACTTGCTTCAGTGTCGAAACCGCCGGATGAAGTGTGACGAGGGTCGGCCGACATGCTCCATGTGTAGGGCCTCCAACCTCACATGCAGCGGCTATGAGAAGAATATCTTTTTCGACTTTGAGGAGATTCCGAGCGTCGGAATGGCGCGCTTTCGGAGACCCTTGTTGACGGAATCCGAACGCGAGTCAATGAGTGACGAACTCGTCTCCAGCATTCCTCCGGCGTTGACTCTTTGGCATATTGCCCAAATTGAGGACGAATGCGAGAGGGCACCGCTATCCCAAAGCGTTCAAATCAGTCGAGGTCCCTTCGGGGCCTTTAGAGTACATCGACTGTCAATGGAATCTTCAAAGGCTGCGCCCGAATCGAGTCCAGAGTCAAATAATCCCACAGTCGGCAGCCCTCCAAAGGCTGCGAAAGAGATCGGGGAGGACAGTCCTGAGGAGGCAGACGAAGAGCTCATGAATCCACCAGACGGTTCTCCGGCTCAAGAAACGACGCCGTTACTTGGGCCTGCTCTTGCCTGCTTGGACCATCGTCCATTGAGCCCTCTTACTGAGTGGTGGAACACGAACGAATGGTGGAATATGGGTGATCTCCCAGACGCGAGCAATTGGTGGGACACGCCTGTGGAACTAGATCGCGTACGCGATATATCCGATAATGTCTCTTTCTCCGGCATGGAACAATATCCGAGGGTACCAATCCATGTCGCCTCTCAGGATGTTCAAGTATGCATACCGAGCATGTTTGCAGACACTCAGTCTCAGCAGCTTTCAACGCCAGAAAACTGCTCTATTGCCCCCACAATCGACTACGCCGTTCCTCACGATGCGGTCTTCCTTCTGAGACACTACTCTACAACAGTCCTCCGAGGCTTCACGCCCTTCCGCCACAGCAAAACGCCATGGCATATCCTATTCATACCATACGTCAAAAGTTGTCTAGCAGCACTAACACTCGGAGACGACATGGACCACGCCAGCCTAACGGCATTCTACGGCACGCTCGCCATCAGCGCCTCCAGCCTCGGTGGCATCTCCAACTCGCGCAAGTGGTCTGAACAGGCAAACAACTACAAGCAGCGCGCTCGCCACCACGTCCGACTCATGCTACAGACAGCCTACGATGTACCCAAAAAGGCAAAGTACAAGTCGATACTGATTGCTTTTCTGACAATGGTGCAAATCTCGAGCGTCTCCGGCAGCCGTGACCAAGTGGAGTGCTATCTTCTAGAGGCGGAAAAGTTCATACGCGTCAAGGGGCTCAACAGGAAAAAGTCGCGCAAGGTCCGATTACTGCATCACTGCTACGCATTCGAGCGGGTCTTGCACGAGACCACGTTCCCGGGGAGCACGCAGTCTCCTCACCGTCTCCACGTGCGCAAGGTAATTGAGACCAGCAATGCGAGTGCCTATAGCATAGACAGCCTGTCATTTCAGCTGGCGAGCTGGAGCAACCTCGACCAAGAAATGCTCAAAGTCAAGGGGCGGGAAGAAGGGGAGAACGATCTCCATCTCCAGATCCCGGGTGTCTGGCTCGCAACACTGTATCCCGAAATCTTTGGTATCCCAGAGATCTACATATTTCTCCTTTCGCTCGTTATCCGGCTGGCTCGGTCAAAAGAAGATCCAGAGTACTCGAGTCCCGCAGGTCTGAAGGAGTTCATGTTTCGCGCCAAGGCAGTCGAGAGACGTATCCACCAACTCAGACGGCAGCCCGGATACGTGATAGCAGACTTGCCCACCTCGGACCCAGAGATGCAGCACTGCCAGCAATTTCTAGATAATCTCTCCCAGGCCATGCTGCTTGCCTTGACCATATTCTTCTATCGGAGGGTGTACGACGTGGAGGCGGACATGTTACAGGATAAGGTTGTCGGTGTTCGGGATTGTTTGCTGCGGTTCGAGGCAACCGAGTCTGAGATGGGGTACGGGTCAGCCAGGCTGGTGTGGCCTGCAGTGATTGCGGCGAGCGAGGCAGATGACCCAGAGGTGCGGGAATCGTTTGCACAGTTTTTCAGGGACTGGGCGCGTCGGAGCGGTCTTCGTATCTTCAGCGATTCTCTCGCGGATGTCGAGAGACGGTGGGCCGAGAAGGAATGTGTAGATAGCGGCGGCGCCACCGAGGCCATTTTGATATCGTAAAACGCATACGACTGGCTGTCCTACATCTTCCGGTTTCAAATCTAGAGTGATACTGTGTGTAAGTAGGTTGCAGTCTTGCAGATGATGGAGGGTATGTGGCTGGATGTGCTGTCGAGCAGATAATATTCGACTTACCCCTTTTGGTGGGGTCTTTGCCACTCCTGCAAGGGGATAACTTTCCTATTCTGGGCCAACATATTCCGTGTAAGTTCTCCCCAAGATACCCCGCGCTTCTTCAACAGAAACGATTTCCGCTCGGTTACTTGCCTATGAGTTTGACTGTCACTACCTATGCCGCGGACCGGTACCTCTACTTAATCAGAGGCACAAAGGGAGGCGTCAAGCATACTTGTTCATAGAAACCAGCTTCTCATCATCGTACCCTGGCACAAGTTTACTTCACGCAAACACTAAGTCCGACCACACCATGTCTTCATTCCAAGGCAAAGTTGTAAGTCGGGCAAACTACCCACTTTCTTGGATATCATGCTCATGTAACCCTCGCGTAGATCGCTATCACCGGCGCCGGCTCCGGCATGGGCCTGTCAACGGCCCAGCTTCTAGCCTCCCGCGGCGCTAAGGTTTCATTGGCGGACATCAACGAGGACTCTCTCAAGGAGGCAATCTCGTCTCTCGAAGATAGTGCAAGCCACATGTACGAAGTAGTCGATGTAAGGAAAGGTGATGTCGTCAACACCTGGATTCAAAATACGGTGAAAAAGTTTGGCAAGCTAGACGGTGCTGTCAACATGGCTGGTGTAATTACCCATGCCACACCTGTTGCAGAGCTTACAGACAAGGACTGGGATTTTGTCTTTGAAGTCAATGCCAAAGGCGTCTTCAACTGCCTGAGGTCACAACTAGGAGCGATGTCTGACGGAGGCAGCATCGTAAGTCTCTTCTCTCTATTCGACTTCTAGACCGGCTGTCAGGCCGTTCGAGCTATATCCTTTGGCTACAAGTATTTCAGAAGCTGATATGATGCTTTTCCATCGCAGGTATCTGCAGCGAGTGTGTTTGGTCAATTCGGAGCTCCTGGCAACGCCGCATACTGCGCCAGCAAGGCAGCCGTAATTGGGTTGTCAAGAACAGCAGCCAAGGAAAATCAAAACATTCGCGTGAATTGCGTATCACCTGGTAAGTCGCTCCTTCCCTGCTGCCCCCCCCCCCCCTTTACGAAATCATCTGCTTCAAAAAAGTCGCAAACTGGCGACAGTACAGAACCAAGCTAATGATGTTCTACAGGCTCTGTCAACACGCCACTGTCTCGTGGAGAAAATCCAGAAGATGTGAAGCGTGGTTTACAGGTAACCGCACAGAAGAGAAGAGCAGAGCCCATCGAGATTGCACGCGTTATCGCGTTTCTTCTTAGCGATGAGGCTTCTTTTGTCACAGGAGCTGTATACAATGTTGATGGCGGTTGGGTATGCTAAGCATTGTGCTGTTGGATTTCTCAATGGGCCTTCTCTTCGGCTCGATCTCTGAATAAGACTTATGCTTTTTTTTAATGAATTCTGAACTTTCTGCATAATACAATGCGCAATCATACCACAGGAGAATATAACTTTGGAGTCACAGTTATACTTAAGTTCATGGCCGCCTCAATGCCTTCATCTGAACATGTGCGTTCTTGGCGAACAAGGACATCCGCGTAGCTCTTTTTTCCGCAGATCTGAAGAAGCATCAACCTGGCCAAAAGACTCTCTTATCATCGGAGCATGTGAAATCCGAGGTCTCTTGGACGCGCTTCACAAAGTTATCAGCGGAGGACTTTCTGGCTTCTCGTCAATATGGACGGAGATTCGTCAACGCTTGACGTCAGAAAACAGATTATTGGCTTGTGATACGGCTGGAAATCTGGCCTTTCGATGATGTATGTTGCAGGAAGGGGCAAAGCATCTTGCTAGAGACTGTACCTTGACAGATAGGTAATCAGGGATTGCCAATCCCATTTCACAGTGCTGTACTTGACGTTCGCTGCTGAACTTCGTCTTAAGTCCGATGTGGTAGTCATGCAATTCAAAGACTTGTCACGCAGTGGATTTAGTCGAAATCATAGCTGAATAGTAATCCTGCTTTTGAGAAGTCTTGAAGTTCTCTCGAACAAGCTGTCGAAAGAAACAAAAGCGCCTGTCTTTGTAACACTCGATTAATACATCATTTGTCTGGTGGAGTCAAGATAACACCTGAAACTGGAAGCACCGAACTCTCTCAAGAATACGAATCATTCTTACCCATTATTCCAGAGAGGAATGAACGAGTAAAGGCGGACTTCTATTACAACAGATTGAAGGGGGGAGACCGATCCACCTCGCATAAAGCCCCCTCTGTTGGACCTCGGTCAGACACAGGACCGTTGTCCAGACCATTCCAGTGCGAACAACGGCAATAGTCTAGCCTCCCAATTTCCCATCAGGGCGGATACTAAAGTTTCAGATCATGGTAAGACTATTAGAAAATACCACAAATCCCGTTGATGCGCCAACTCGGCCTGCATACGGATCGCCCGGCGCGGCTATCTCTGAACTCATCGATTGACACATCAGACAGTCTGACAAGTGATGGACAAACTTCAGATCGGCTAGCTCCGCTGTCAAGCCAGAACCCTTGGCATCACGTTTTTTGCCCGATGAGTCGCAAGACAGAAAAAAAAAGTTGAGACAGATTTCGCAAAGTTTACACAATAGGGGATAGCTCCAGTTCATCTGGTCATCCATGTCTACCCACTCGACTTGCATTGCAGAAACCTGGCGTGCGCCTCCCCTCCTCCACCCCCAGACAACCCACCTGTTGTGCTTACATACCCCCCCAAGTACCGGCCGGTTTGCGCATGCAGGCTGCACGACTCCAACGGTCGCTCAGCTTGGCTGTTTCTCTTGGCCCTCGATGGGCGAACCAATAAGAACCTACCATTGACCTGAGTCGTCGACTTTGCAACTCTGACTATGCTGCACTCAATCTGACTCCCCATGTATGCGTCGCCCGAAGCGACCTAGTCCGGCCTCTCAGAGCCGAGGCATCCAACGTTGTCACCAAGTGAGGCGTTGCGGGGTGCTGCGGGGGGCACTTCGAGATTGCAGCTCTCTACCGGCTTGGGTCAGTGTGTCTTGCTACTCCAGAACTTGGATCGTGCATAACCAAGAGAACCCTTTTGGAGAGAGTGGAGTAGATTCTGCGACAAACTGGTTGAAGTGGTAACCTCCTATCCATTGAGTCTCCAATAAGGCTCTCGGACTATACCAAGCGCGGAAACTTTTGGTAAAGGGGGACATGGCCGTTTCTTGTTGGACGAGACACATAGTCGAGTTGTGCTCACCAACAGACACATCCCTAGGACCATAGGACGATGGGGGCTAATTCGAGGGGCATCGTAAGCGGGCATATCCCCCCCTCCCCTCATTCCAACATCACCTCTATGGCCTCTCTACAAGTCATCCAAGTCTTGTCCCGAGGTTTCTCGCACTCTGCTGCAACCAAACAGACTCGCGGAGGTTCCTCCGAGCCATTCCCAATTCGATGTCCTGTCGCGAAATGGCAGCTCAGCCAGCTCTCACGTGGCATCGCTGTTCCTTGGAATTCTTGAACACATCTAGCTTCGCCGACTCCATGTCCTGAACTTCTCCGACGTGGGGAAAATGGCTTTGAGATTCAAGATGCGACTGGCGGATGAATCCAACGACCGTCACCGTCTCCACGATGTGATCATTCATCGAGCCCGGTTGGGGGAAAGGTAGCGCCGACTTCTGGATGTGCTTCACGAACAAGACCGGCCAGGCGTGTGAGTTGTGAGACATGGATTGGGCACATTCTCTTAGCATTGAGGATGTTCAAGCTGTAGATGATCCATCAGGGAACACCAACTTCGAAAACAAGATAAATAGTCGAGCAAGATCCCACCGGTAGACTCTTGATATCTTCGTTTCATCAGACTCAAGCTCTCGCTCAGAACCTGAATCCTCCTCTCCTTCGCTCAAAGCCTAGTGGCCAGCCCGCTCTCACTTGAAGACCGTTCCCAATTTCCGGACTCAAAACAACATCCAAAATGAAGTTCTTCAGCATCCTCTCCCTCGCCGTCACCCTCGCCGCCGCGGCACCAGTCGAAGTCGTCGACACCGGCGTCGCTGACCTCCAGGTCCGCCAGACGGGAGCGACCAGCAACGAGCTCGAGTCCGGCAGCAGCTCCGCCTGCCCCAAGGTCATCTTCATCTTTGCCCGCGCCTCCACCGAGCCCGGCAACATGGTAAGCCGACCAAAATTCTTACAAATGAGCGGGGAAAAGGCCTTTCCCAAGAGCTAACCTCGATCGATGAATAGGGAATCAGCGCTGGCCCCATTGTCGGCGATGCCCTCAAGAGCCGCTACGGCTCGAGCCAAGTCTGGGTTCAGGGCGTCGGCGGACCGTACAGCGCCGACCTGGCTTCCAACTTCCTCCCCGAGGGAACCAGCACCGTCGCCATTAATGAGGCCAAGAGGCTCTTCACTTTGGCCAACACCAAGTGCCCCAACTCCGCCGTTGTAGCCGGCGGATACAGGTTAGTCAGATCTTACAGACGGCTTCCCCTTTCCCCTTTGTCCTCTGCTAATGTGGCCCGATGAACAGCCAGGGAACCGCCGTCATGGCCTCGTCCATCTCAACTCTGAGCTCGACGATCCAAAACCAGATCAAGGGCGTCGTCTTGTTCGGCTACACCAAGAACCTCCAGAACCTCGGCCGCATCCCCAACTTCCCCTCGTCCAAGCTGTCCGTCTACTGCGATGTCGCGGATGCCGTCTGCTACGGTAAGCAAGCCTGCTTCCCATCCTCAAAGACGTCAGAGAAGCCACTAACACGTCCAGGCACGCTCTTCATCCTGCCCGCGCACTTCCTCTACCAGACTGACGCGGCTGTTGCCGCCCCTATCTTCTTGGCTGGTCGCATCGGTTAAGGAGCTCGAGAACGCAATTAGTTCCGGATCGACCGTGATTCGGATGCTGTTGGCTTTGGTCGAGAAGGATTGTGAAGAGAGACTGTTGGCGCATCGATTTCTGTGAAGGGCGGGACTCGCTTGCTGGAGTCGGAATCTGAAACTGGGCAGCAGAGTGGAATATGGAAGGCTCGGGTTGGATTGCTGGAGCATGATACTCACTCATTTGTTGTCGCTCATTTTGTTCCTATTATCTTTCTTGCCACTCACTTAGTTTAGCTATTTCATGCTTCATGAACACCCTGACGATGGACGAAATGCAAAGGATATTCTTATTGTTGCTAAATGGGTATCACTGAGTCATTATGTTAAAACAGATGCTATGCCAGAGACGTTGCGCCAAGTTTCATGCTTTCTTCGACCTGCCCCGAAGGAAGGCTGCGTGCCGTTGAGCGTGGTATTTTACGTCTGCCGGGTGCAGCGGGTTGTACACGATCCGGCATGTCTTACACTCCATAAAAGTAGGTTTCGACGAGAGATTGATGGTCGTCTGAACAGTCGGAACAGGCTTTGATCGGGAGGGAGGTTTCTTCGGCCTAGCCTGGTTTTCGATCTTTCCGAGGTCGGGAAGCTCGTTCAGTTTGTTTTCGTCGGCATCTTGCAGCTCTGGGGCGCCTCGTGCCCTCGTCCTGCGAGCGTGGCGTGGTTTCCGTCCGACAACAATACGACTTTCTTCAATCTCGTCCTTCTCACCCTCCAAAGGGTCCGACGAATGTGACAGTGGCGTGCTGTGTCGTAGCCTCAGACGACGGGGTTCCTTGATCTTTCTGAAAACGGGAGGTGATGAAGGCGGGGTGTTGACCAGCTTTTCCGAGTCGGACAAGGGGTCGGAGGCTTCAGTGGCCGAGCTTGATCGGCAGGGTTTGAAGTAGCTTAGGATCGAACTCTTGGGTATACTGCTTGGTGGCGGTGCAGATTGAGCGGGAGGAAGCCGTGGGAGGTCTGGCGTCCGCGTTGCTGGTTCGATCTCGGGTTTGCGCTTCTTGAACAAGAGAGAGCCGACTTCTTCATCAGCGGCGCGCGTGCGTTTGCTGTAAGTTTTGAGGGTTCGTCTGCAAGACGTCAGTTTGGGTTGATATCGACACTCGCAGCAGGTCTCATACCTCTTGTTGGCTGTTGTTCTTGTAGAATCGGGTCCAGACCGCTGGCTGTGTTGCTTGGTGATTAGCGACATTAATGGAGATACAATGTCCATGGAAACGCGAACCTGGTGTCTGCGATTTGATCCATGCCTTCAGCCAAGGCAGTGAAAGTACTTGTTGGACAGAGAGATGTGCCGAACGTCAGGCGCATGTAGATGGGTGTGGTGATACGCGACGCGCGCGCTCAGTGCTTCGCGCGGGAGAGAATTCGGCGTGATAAGAGAAGCTGATTACAGTCGAAACGAAGTGAGAGAGATAGCGGAGACGGACCAAAGGACTAGGAAACGATTAAAAATTACAGCATCCGAAAGACAGGTCAACAAGGCC